CCTATATCTCTTACTATTTATATGTCTATTGAATTCTTTGAATTCCTTGAATTCCTCTGAGTTGCTTGATTTGCTTGAATTTCCTAAATTTTCTTGAATTTCCATAATTCCATGGTGTATCACACCCTGTATCTCTTAGTATTTATATGTCTATTGAATTCTTTGAATTCCTTGAGTTCCTCTCGGTGACTTCATTTGCTTGAATTTCCTAAATTTTCTTGAATTTCCATAATTCCATGGTGTATCACACCCTGTATCTCTTACTATTTATATGTCTATTGAATTCTTTGAATTCCTTGAATTCCTCTCGGTGACTTGATTTGCTTGAATTTCCTAAATTTTCTTGAATTTCCATAATTCCATGGTGTATCACACCCTGTATCTCTTACTATTTAGATGTCTATTGAATTCTTTGAATTCCTTGAATTCCTCTGAGTTGCTTGATTTGCTTGAATTTCCTAAATTTCCTTGAATTTCCATAATTATATGTTGCCTTATAATTGTTAGTCTTCTCTGAGTGTGTGTCTTTAGAATTTCTTGAATTGCTTAGAATTGCTAACTGTGAGATCCTAGGGTTATCTCCTTTTTTTCGATAAATCGATGTTGCTTTACTGGAAGCAACATGTTATATAAAGATTTTACGAAAAAAAAAATGCTGAATTCATTTCGACTTTTTCTGTCTGATTGTGTGAAACGACAAATTTCAAAATGTTGATTATAAGAGTCAACATATTTATAGGTTTTGGAATTTATACTGTGCGACATTGTACTTACATTATCTTTATTTCCAGAAGTTTTATTTAATTCTTGTGGCAATGACATCAAAATATGTTTATTTTGATGATAAATTAAACTGTGCTCTAATAAGAGAAGTTTCTCAACTAATTAATTATTTTTAACATTGTGACTATGTCTATTGTGTATGACAGGCACGCCTCTCTTACCCATCACAGACCGAGATAGACGTTGATATGTAACCAAAGATTATATAGCACTATTATCTCATTAGAATATATGGATGAATTCTTAATTGCAGTTCTAGAGGATTAATCAAACGATACGAAAGATCTGTCCGAAAGTAAATCGAATGAAACAATTTTCATTTAATTAGCAACAGCAGCCTCATCGTGTTTCACATTTTAATCCTGCAGGGATTGCGCTAACAGCTTTCTTAGATAAGTAAAATAAAAGAAGATTTTAATAGGAATACATTTGTTTTCAACATCTTACTATTAAGAAACAGTTTTATGAATAGTAAAGTATATTTGATTGGATACAATGCTAACTAAGCCTTTCACAAAATCAGATTTCACTTAATTGACAAATTTTTTGGTAGAATGGAACATCTAACCATTTAGGGTGTGGACCCGAAAGTGATTTTGATTAACTCACACCCACATCCTCACTTTTTCATTTGTCTCGTCCTCTAAAGAGTCACTCCACCTGCCGATTACTCATACCTACCTCTGAATCACTACAGAAATTACGTGAGTCTTCTATTTCACAATCATAGTACTTTTGTGAAACATGATTGCTAATGAGTGTTGAAGTGTGTAGCGATGTTGATGTGACTCAGGATAAAACGACCACATTCACATTCACATCAACAGCCTATGTTACTATAACTACGATAGCGGTCGCGCAGAAATGTGTAGACACGGTGCAGATATGTGGGTGTGACGGTGGCTGCCTTCCTCTTCACACCAACACCCATACTCACGGTTACATCCTATCAATTCGAATGGTAACCAACCGATTTGGTAAAAAAAACTGATTAATTATAATAAAATGTGATATATTCAATTAGTAGTATTTGATCTAGGCTCATTCTGAAATCATTCTATGATATTTAAACTACGAAAGAAAAATTCAGCGAAAATGGAAATTATAATGTTGGCGTAGGTATGATTATGATCCATGTTGTGGATGCTGATAAGTTTGGGTGAAGATGATAAAGATGCACATGCACATCCTACTTCAAAAGTAAGATCGATATAACCTTGACCTACCATTTTCTAGATAATTATCAGAATTCATCAGTAAATTACTGATTGTAAAACCGATGAGAGTCAAGTAATCTGCCTCGTCGATATTAAAAAAGGTAAATATTTTTTACATTACTATCCTGAAACAATGACCAATTATTTCAATCAATATAGGTATTCTGCCTCATAACTTTAACAAAAAAAATTATGTTCAAATGGTATCATGTTTATTAGTGCTGCAAAAAATTAGAAATAGATATATAAATTCTTTATGTCCAAGATAAATAATATTTAGAAATTAACATCAATAGGGTGTAGGTGTATGGCTTATCTTAAACCGTATCCACACCCACATCCTCGGCTTTCACACTATAAATATTACATTTTGTTAATAATACATATAATCATGATTAATTATATGCAGATTCAAACACATGATTTAAAAAATAATTTAAAAAATGTAGCTCTTAATTCTTTCGATGTAAAAAGATAAATAACAACGTCCAAAGCTGAATTTGCATATCCTAACCATGAAAATATGCTGAATAATAATTTATGATGTTGATCGTCTTTTAAGCGTATAGCAAATGCACCACTCAATACAAGATAAACAAAAAATGGTAACCAACAAACAACAAATGTACCCATAACAATACCGATGAATATAGCCGCCTTTTGATCGTTCGAATTTTTTTTCCGAATTTTGTTTTTTCGCGCACATTTTTTTGTACTCTTATTAATTGATTTCGATTCACTTTCGTTATTCTGGTTGAGCAGTTCTACATTTGGATTTTGATATGCACCATGGTGAATACGAAGTGTTATTAATTCATGCGACGGTCTACGATTTTGTGATAACATAGGTGATGTTTTATGTGTGGCATTATCATCGGTTTCTACTGTTGTCTCCGTTCTTGATCTTTTCTCATAACGAAATCCTGGAATGAATGACTTTGCGGATTTTATCAGATAATGATGCTTGTAACCAGAACGCAGTGCTAGTGCTTGTTGTTGAGCTGTCGAATACACTCGAATATAAACGTAAATCATAACAATTAATGGTAGATAAAATGATGCAATAGATGAAAATAATACATAATAGGGGTTATTCGGAAATTCGCATTCATTAGATGGCAACAATTGTGCCGATATTGTTTCATTTGACATCGATAATTGTTCTAAAGTTAAATTCAACATATAACAAAATAAGTAACGTTCATAGAAGGTCGATTCACTCCTCTCTAGACTAACAGACAATGAAGTGTAATCTGAATGAACATATGAATGGGACTATCAAAAGTAAGTCTTTCACAAGAATCCAAATATGTCTACAAGAAGAAAAGCCGCATTTTTTGGACTTCAAAGTTCTAAATCAATTCGAAATAAAAAAAAACCATTCAACATCTAACAATAGACAACTCCAAGCTCCGAAGTACAAATATCCAAAAACGCTTTCAACGAAATTTCTACGGGATTAAAATGTGAAACACGATAGAGCCGCTTTAATTGTACATGAAAACTCTCGCTACATTGATCCCGGGCTGCAACAATTACAAAGGAGCAGCATGTCTAAATGTCTGTCACAGTCTATATAAATCCTAGTGGTTTTTAAAATGTGTTTGAGACAGACAGAGCACTAGTGTCGATCATTCTATATCAAACCAATTGATAAATGAGTCTGAAAAAAAATTAGGATCGATTCTTGCTAACTCTGATGATAAATCCTTCAAATGACCAGTCTACTATTGTACTACACCAAAGATTCGTCTCTGTTTTATCCACAATTATTAATAATCGTCATTAGTTATCAACTACAAAAAACTGTAGTCTCGAACTCATGTACTAAATCAAAGTTCGAATTTATAATATATCTGTATGTGGAGATAAATAATGGAATGAATGCTCAAAGATCTGGATACTAAGTAGTATATTAAAACCTTTTAGTACGTACCAGAAAATGCTCGTTCTGTTCGAAGATAAAAAACTGCTGGAAACGATAAGGCTGCTGAAAATATCCATATAAATGACAATATATAATACCATTTTTTTGATATAAACGAATTCGGATATTCAATTGGCTTTGTAACAGCCACGTATCGATCTATTCCAATCATGCATAGTCCGAATACGGATGCTGTTGATGCAAATATATCCATCGAATGCCAAAAATCACAAAAAACTTTCAGATGTCGCAAAAACAACCAATATTCATCATTAGTCATGTCAAATATAAACGCAAATGGCATAACTATAAATCCAACTAAGAAATCAGCAAATGCCAATGATGAAATATAATAATATTTAGATGCATGTAATGTATTGTCACGAATTATAGCATATATAATTAATAGATTACCTATTATAGTTAATAGATATAATAGTAAAAGAAAAATGCCAATTGGATATATTAACAATTGTGTGTCCGTTATTGTTGTGTTGGTAGTTATTGAAAACAACTCCATAACTACATAAATCAATTAAACATTTATAGTAGTTTGATAAGAAGAAGATTCTGACCATTCTCAAACTTCAAAAGTTAGGAAATATTAAAATTAGAAACATTTTGGTTGATACATCTTTCATTCAGATCAAATCTTGGAAAATTGTCGTTGATTTTTTTCACCGATTAATGAATACTAGAGTCGTTTACTGAAATAGCTTTATTGGAAGATGAATGTAAAGCTCTCCTTCCAGAATAAAAGGTCATGTCTTTCAAAAATGTCTCACTGAACAACTAGTTTTTATATGGTCTTTTATCAGAGGTCAATTCTTACCGAATTATTCATAATAATATTAATGAATGTCCCTGAATAAATTGATCCCTCAGTATTCTACCAATATCTCCTTCAGTTTTCGTTACTCACACTTAATCTTTACCAAAAGATTTCTCATTTAATTCTCTACAAAACTCGATAAACTTATATACTGGGCTACAGACTATCAGATACCAAGATAAGTTATTGTGTAAGAGCTTTTTCAAAGATTCAATTCTTTTTTCTGCCTGATTAGACAGATGTCTATGTTGTTGTTCTCATCTTGGTTTTTTACTATTTTCAAGTATGTTCGTTTTCGTTACCTTTAGTGAAGCTCGTTTGAACAGAATAGCAATGCAGAAATGAGGGCATTTCTTCCAGAACGAGGTCAGATCGTCGTAATGCGTGTTCTCATCTTACATTTTAATACAAAAATGGAATGCATATTGAACCGTTCCGTAGGTCTGGTAGGGAAATCATTCGCTTTCAAAACATTTAGGACAGAGAATCGCTCAGGACATAATTCGAAGAAGATTCGTAACAAAATAAATGAACAATGCAAATATTTTTTGAATTCAAAGAGAACTCTATACAAAGTTTATTAGTAGCTTCTAGAACGTAGCAACACACATATAGTGATTCGTTTTATCCAGTCGAAACTGCTACGATGTACCTTATGGGAATAAAGAATGTTGTCTTACAGGATCTGCACTGTCAAAATGAATTTTACTGTTCCACAGAACGATTAAAACTGTCCAATAACATCCTCTGTCTAAGGACATCGACACAGACGTTTATCAAGTGACGTAAAGAAATTTGAAATGTATGCAGGAGAAAATCTTGTTTGTACAAAAGCTAAAGCGTAGAAAGAAATATTGAGCAGTCATTAAGAAATAGCTTCAACATGGCTCATTAAGTTTCTTTGTGTCTCGCACGTCTCACAGCTGGTAGTGACACATTTATTTTAAGCCACTTTTTCATCTATAACGATTTGCAAAGTAGGTTCACACATTTGATCAAATGTTCTATTGCCAAGTTATCAATTTTAGCTTGTCCTATTGCTCTATTCACAAGGTCATTTCCGATATTTTTCCCCACAGAGTTATGGAGCATACATGAGACAAATTACTCCAGTGCACCTCATTTGAATCTTCTCCCTTTATATTTCTTACTTTAGATTATTATAGTTTGCTTTTTTATAATGGATATATAGCGAGAAAGCGTAGATCTCACTGTATTATGAAAATGAACTTTTGGATATTCAAACAATAATTGAACTTATGTTCATCAATATGTACGAACAGATAAAAATCCAATTTACTTTTACTACAGATTGTAGTGAAAAACATACGATCTTTTTTCTGATGTATTTTTTAGTGTTTGATTTCTATTTCTTATTTATGTTTAACATATTAAGCGACACAGTGAAGTGTGCGCTTTCTCGCTATATATCCATTATCGAAAAAAAAACAAACTTTAATAATCTAAAATAACAAAATATAAAGAGGGAAAATTCAATTGAGGTGCACTGTATTTTTAAAATCCTTGTAGATGAAAAAGTAACTTAACGTAAACGTGCCACTCCTATTCGTCCATCCTGCCAGCGTAACTCGCGTCAATACCAATACTGTTAAACAGTATAACAATTTCTATTAGAAAGCAGAATTCAAATGTATATTTGTCTCACGATTATTTCATATGTGCACCCTTTTCTATTTTGTTCTGCCACGAATAAAAAAGAATGTCAAGTATATGCAATTTTGTGTTTTGAAAAGGTCAATTTAACTCTTTGAGGACCAAGCCCGTATATATACGATTTGAAAATTTATGTAGAAACGAACGTATTTGAACCGATTAAAGTACATTCTTCGAGTGTTTCGTTTGTTTTCCTATTTCACAATTCTCTTTTTGTGTCTTTGAAGTAAGAAGAAGTATGACAATTATGGAAGTGAGTACCTTTTAAATGATAATTAATTTTTACACTTCACCTTTAGTTATTTTATTAAAAAAAAGTCGATCCTGAAAGGGTTAATAGGCATGACTTACTCTTTTATTTACCAGACAATTCGATATCTTCTTCAATAATGCAGAAGATGTCTGCACAGAGTTAGTACAGCCGCATTTATTAATTTCGAAAACAAATAGACAGAAGCAAAACGTAAATAGTACTGCAAATATACGCGAAGCATTCAATGATACTCATGAGAAACAAAAAACATCGTATAATTGTTTTCTCTCAGACTAATAGATTTATGTTGATGGCTGGTACATGCTCGTGAAAAACGAGTAAAGATTGTTGTTCGATTGCTTTCTCGTTGCTTTTCTTCTCTTCCTTCATTCTGTTGATGTATAGCGTAGACCAAAAGTAAGGAAACATTTTTATCGGTATCTTCTCTATACATTTCCAGTGCGCTCTTATATTGATATCATATATATCAAGTAATACTGTTTAAGACAATGTGTTATCATTCTTTGACGACAATAGTCTGTTGAAAAAGCGCCATAACATCTTGTCTCGCGTCAACATGTCTAGTCGTAACAAAATGTGACAAATAATTGATAAAAAGGGTTGCAAATTTGTAATAACAAGAGAGTGAAATTATTTTTGTTTTTCATCACATAAATTGTGATATACATTAGAGGAAACTCGCTCATCGAGACGAAAATGGTCAAAAAATAGATTCAAAACTTATCGAACGATTCAATCTTTCTATACTGCAAACTATGTGTTTTTTCCAGAGTGGATATTTCGACACCTAGAAATAGGATTATTACATTAAGAAAATCATATTTATATATTTTTTTCTTGGGTTGTTGTAACTCAAGCAGAGAAGAAAGTCGATTGTGGCTCGTTAAGTCGCGTTTCTCGGGGTCAAAAGACACTATCTAAACGAAATTCGTATGATCAAACAGAGCACGTATTCAAGTGCAACAGAAAATAAGCTAAAGCCGTTAGAAAACTATTCTTATTGTAGATATGACAATTGTATTGCATGTGAAATTTGTATTATCAATATCAAACAGAATATAATAGTTGTGTTTATGATGAGAATAGTTGTGTAGCAGCTCTAGCTCAATTCTTGTCGTACAGCCATCGACACATTATAAGAGTCCGCTATAATAGAAGACCTTCTTTGAATAAATGACTCAAAAGACATATTCGAAGACCCCCCTTCTAATAGTGCGTGTTTTGATCGATTTCAATTCTTTTTCATTCACATTGTTTTCTCTCCACGAAGAGTCAACCATATCATTGTATTTATAACTGAATAGGGGTGTGAATTTATTGTTATTGTTATTAATAACAATAACAAAAAAGTTATTGTTATCAATAACAAATAACAAAAAAAGTTATTGTTATTAATAACAATAACAAAAAAAGTTATTTGTTATTAATAACAAAAAAATAACAAA